TAGACTGAGTTTTCATTTGAGAGGATTGGACCAGAACTCCAAAAACTTGTCTAAAACTTTACATTCACTGCATCTGCTTACTTTGGGGTAAGAACTGTAGATAATTTAACCATTCTCCTAGTCTACATTTTTCCTTAATTTATCTACTTTCTTTACCAATCATTCTCTAATACCAAATTTTTAAAAAATTGATTTTAGAGAGAGAGGAAGGTGGGGGGAGGAGAGAAAGAGAAACATTGATTTCTTGTTCCATTTATTTATGCATTCATTGATTGATTCCTGACCAGGGATTAAAACCGTAACCTTTTTGGGGACGACACTCTAACCAACTGAGCTATCCGGCCAGGGATCTAATACCAAAATTTTTTGTTGTTGTTAATCCTCACCTGAGGAAATTTTTTGAGAGGATATTCATTGATTTTTAGACAGAATGAAAGGGAAGGGGAGAGACAGAGAGAGAGAAATATTGATGTGAGAGCGACACTGATTGGTTGCCTCTTGCACACTCCCAGACTGGGATCGTGGATGGAGCCTACAACTGAGGTGCATTGTGCCCATGACTGGAATTGAAGACAGGACCCTTCAGTTGGCAGGCCAATGATCTAACCATAGAGCAACCTGCTAGGGCTCTAATACCAAAATTTTTAACAGGTAATACTTTGAGGCAAAAAAATGAGAAAACTAAAGTCAAAGTATTGAAGTTTTCATCAAGGTAGATTTATTCAATTCAAAATTATTAGCTTTTGTTTTAAGATTATATTCATTCTTGGTTTTAAAATATGCTTTCATGTAACAATGGTAATTTTTTCAATAACCTTATTGACAAAAATTTAAAACCTGATTACTCACTTTATTTTTTATGAAAATCCAAGTGTTTTGGAACCTAGCCAACTCAGAGATCTTTCTGAAATTCTTATTTAATTATGTCACTGTCTTGCTTTAAATCCTTCAGGGTAGACTACTGTGACCTACAGCAATATAATACCACTGGGGTTTTCAATCCATATGTGCATTATTTTCTCTAGATTAAACAAAATACCTTATTCATATTTTTCCCCTAAATTTTCAAATGTATAAAGATACTCTTATGATGATCAATTTATTTTAAAAGTTTGACTGACTTTCAGTAGCCTTTTGTCATTATATTTTTTTAATTATATAATTCCTATCATGTGTGGAACACATTAAAATGCCTCATCAGTAAAGATAAAACTATAAGGGGAAAATTTGATTTGATAATAATTAAAATTTTGATACAGTAAGAAAACATATAAACCACATTGAAAGATAGAATATATGTAGCCAGAACCGGTTTGGCTCAGCGGAGAGCGTCGGCCTGCGGACTCAAGGGTCCCGGGTTCGATTCCGGTCAAGGGCATGTACCTTGGTTGTGGGCACATCCCCAGTGGGGGGCATGCAGGAGGCAGCTGATCGATGTTTCTCTCTCATTGATGTTTCTGGCTCTCTATCCCTCTCCCTACCTCTCTGTAAAAAATCAATAAAATATATTTAAAAAAGAAAGAAATATATGTAGAAAATATATTTAATACACCGTATTTGAAAAATTAAGATATATAATTGTTACTATGAAGAGATTTTATCACTCAATAATAAAAATAATACTGCAAAAGGAAAATCAGTAAGGAACATTGATAGCAATTTACAAAAGAAATATAATCTTCCAATTAATATGAAAAAAGTTCATCTTTACTAAAAAGAAAAGTTTTAACCTAAAACAAAATGATTTTTGCCCAGTTGGTGTGGTTCAATGGTTGAGCATCAACCTATGAACCAGGATGTCAGGGTTTGATTCCTGGTCAGGGCACATGCCCACATGGTTAAATTATCTACAGTGGGCTACCAGTACATCCCCAGTGGGGGCCGTGCAGGAGGCTCAATGATTCTCATTGTTGATGTTTCTCTCTTTCTCTTTCCCTTCCTCTCTGAAATCAAGCTTTTAAAATAGGTGTTTTTTTTTCCTGGCACTTAGCAGAATTTAAAAATATCTGTGTGGCAAGGGTTTGGAGAAATGGACTCTCCTCACTGCTGGTGGAACTACATATTGGTATGTTCTTTTGGGGATAATTTGACTATATGTATCAAAAGCCTTACATTTTTAAAAATCCCTTTTTACTTAGCAATACATTTTTCTGGAAATGCACTTAGAAAAATAACTAGGGATGTGGGTAATATTTGGCTGTAAGGGGATTTGTCAAGGTGTGGTTTTTTTATAAAATATATATTTTTATTGTCAGAGAGGGGGGGGAGAGAGGGAGAAACAACAATGATGAGAGAGAATCATTGACTGGCTGCCTCGTGCATGCCCCACTCTGGGGATCAAGCCCACAACCTGGGCATGTGTCCTGACCGGGAATCAAACTATAACCTCCTGGTTCATAGGTCAACACTCAACTACTGAGCCACGCTGGCCGGGCCATCATAGTATTTTATAATAGTAAAATATTGAAAGCAATCTAAACAGCTTACAATTGCATTTTAGTTTTAAAAAGAAAAAAGATTATGGTTTATTTATACAGTGAATGCTACTCAGCTATTAAGAATGATTTTGTCAATCTTTAATGAGGTAGCAAAATATTTATGAGATAATATTAGGTTTGAAATACAGGAACAGCAGTTATTTTTGGTGGTGGAATTTTTTCTCCATTAAAAAATATTTTCAATGGGCATGTATTTATAATTAAGAAATAATTATTGGGAATCATTATAGAATAAATCCTGCCGTTACTGGTTTGGCTCAGTGGATAGAGTGTCGGCCTGTGGACTGAAAGGTCCCGGGTTCGATTCCAGTCAAGGGCATGTACCTTGGTTGCGGCCACATCCCTAGTGGGAGGTGTGCAGGAGGCAGCTGATCGATGTTTCTAACTCTCTATTCCTCTCCCTTCCTCTCTGTAAAAAATCAATAAAATATATTTTAAAAAAAAGAATAAATCCATGATATATTCTCTACTTGTCTCTACTTTTTCATACACAGCACTCCTAAAAGTCTCTCAGAGTACATCCTTACATGCTTCTATATAAGGAGTTCCCACTCATCTTTTAAAGTCAGTTCAAATGAGTTCCTGCTCATCTTTTAAAGTCAGTTCAAATGACACCACCATGAAGTCTTTCCTAACCACTTTGTTTTCTCTGCTAATTCCACACAATTATCTTGCATAATTATTTACATGTACTTATAATGTCTTTTCTACCAGGCAGTGAACTCCTCTCATTCATTCATTTAATAAATATTTGTGAGTGTTTATTATGTGCCTGGCACAAGTGTGTTAGGTACTGCAGATCTAACCATGAACCATGCAGACAAGTTCCCCCTGCCTTCAAGAAGATAGCATGACGAAGTACATTGAAATATTAAGCTGTGTAATAGAAGTGTAGAATGCTTAGAAGATCCATAAACCTCTCCCAGGCTGGATGGAGAGGGAAGGCTTCGTGGAGGGGATAATAGCTGAATAGTAGCAAGAAAACAAATGTTAGCCAGGTGAAGGGTAGGAGGAGGTAGTTTCAGATAGCAGAACAGCCCAAACAAAGACCTGAAATTTTAAAACCATGTTAAGTTTCAGGAAGGTCATTGTGGTGTTTGTGGATATTGAGGTTGATTTCTGATAGAAAATAATTATATATAATTTTATCTTGAAAGAAGCTCCAGAATTCATATCTTCTGCGAGAGTTTAGGAAGTTTTATGAAAAAGCATATGTTAGAGCAGTGATGGCGAACCTTTTGAGCTCGGCGTGTCAGCATTTTGAAAAACCCTAACTTAACTCTGGTGCTGTGTCATATATAGAAAATTTTTGATATTTGCAACCATAGTAAAACAAAGACTTATATTTTTGATACTTATTTTATATATTTAAATGCCATTTAACAAAGAAAAATCAACCAAAAAAATGAGTTTGCGTGTCACCTCTGACACGTGTGTCATAGGTTCGCCATCACTGTGTTAGAGAAAGCATCCCAGTGTTGAATTAGGCAGAAATTCAAGTGTGATTGGTATATTTGTTATTTTTTAAGTATTTGTATAAAAAATATTCTCAATAAGGATTAAAAAATTAGTGTGAAATAATTAAAAGTTTGAATTGAAAAGAGTATTTTAATTCTCTATCTTGTAATCTTTTTTTTTAATTGTTTTATTGCTTAAAGTATTACAAATAGTATTACATATGTCTCCTTTTTTCCCCGCCTATCTTGTAATCTTGACTGGTCCTAATAAAATGGTGCGAGGCGAGATTATTTGGAGAATGCCTTTGAATTAATAGATGAAAATGATAGCATTTTAATAGCAATTTTTGCATATGCATGTGTTCTGAAAAGAAAGAGATGTTACTTGTAGCAGAGTAAAAATTTCTCATAATTTTTAACCCTTTACGTTTAACATGTCTTCCTTGGAAATTGTCTTCAAAATCTCTTCTGTCTCCTGTTAAATTGTTTCTCACCATTTGTGTTTCCTATACAGATTTTAAAGTTCTTTTTTCTCTTTACAACTGTACTCCAAACACCTTTCCTATTTCCATTTCCAAATAAAAATCAACATTTATTGCTTAAAGTTTTGGCTCAGTGGATAGAGCGTCGGCCTGCGGACTGAAAGGTCCCGGGTTCGATTCCGGTCAAGGGCACGTACCTGGGTTGCGGGCACATCCCCAGTGGGAGATGTGCAGGAGGCAGCTGATCGATGTTTCTCTCTCATCGATGTTTCTAACTCTCTATCTCTCTCCCTTCCTCTCTGTAAAAAATCAATAAAATATATTTTAAAAAAATCAACATTGTAAAGCCAATGGATAAAATTGCAATGTGGCCCTCATTAAATCAGTTTCTTTCTCTGTGATTATGTGAATGATATTTACTATTTGTTGTATATCAGAATGATTGGGCTTATACAGTGAGTTTGTAGGCCTTTTTTGTTTGTTTTCTTGATTAGGTAATATGGTTTCTCAAGATTTCTTAAATAAGAGATTAAATAAACCAGTTTTTCTTTTCTGCTTTGTAGATTTCTTGATAACCGGCTGTTTGCTACCTGCTCTGATGACACTACAATAGCACTATGGGATCTGAGAAAATTGAACACCAAAGTATGCACTTTACATGGTCACACTAGCTGGGTGAAGAACATCGAATATGATACTAATACAAGACTCTTAGTAACATCAGGATTTGATGGAAATGTCATTATTTGGGACACCAACAGGTTTGTGAATAGGAGATCATTTTAGGATTTTTTTAAGATGGTAAACAAATTCAGTGTTCTGTCTCAACTTTTATATCTCTTTAGGAGAAAGAAACTGGTTTTGTGGGGGGAAAAAAACAGTCAAAAAGTGATTCTATCTTTTGTTGCTTGCACATAGAGAAATTTCTATGGAAAGGAGACCAAGTAGCATAGTTAATTATGAAAAAATGGTTTATAAGATAAGTTTCCTGAACTGAAGTGTTTTTTACTCTTTTGTCCTTCAATTCTATTTTTTTTCCACTTTTCCCCCCACTTTTTTTTTAATCCTTACCTGAGGATATTTTTCCATTGATTTTTAGAGCAAGTGGAAGAGACAAAGAGAAACATCGATGTGAGAGAGACACAATGATTGGTTGCCTCCTGCACCTGCCTCTGGGTCAGGGAGGAGACTGCAACTGAGGTACATGCCCTTGACTGGAGTCGAACCTAGAACCCTTCGGTCTTCAGGCTGACACTCTATCCACTGAGCCAAACCAGCTGCCCTTCAATTCTAAATCTGTTTTTATTTGGCCATTTGTGCACTTCGTCTTCATCATTCAAAGAGTAGTCAGTCTCTATTGGGGTGGAACTGATCCCTAGGAGAATGTTTGGAAATAATGTGTGGTACAATTTTAGTTGTCACTATGGAAGAAGAGAAGAGGAGTTCCACTGGCATTTAGTTAGCCAGGAATAAGAGTTTCTAAACATCCTGTAGTACATGGGAGAGTTTGCATAATGGACTAATTGTATCACCTAAAATGTCAGTGATGCCTCTGTTTTGAAACACTAATAAAATGTCTCCTTATAGAGAAATTGATTATTCAAAGAGTTGAGATCTGAGAAATAATTAAATATATCTGTTGCTAGCTATGGTGAAATAACAATATAGTAATACACCAGGATCATTTCTGAAATACTCTTTCAGAGGTAATATGTAAAAAGAAAAGGGATATTCTTAAAGATTTCTAGCTATGCATGTTGCTTGAGCAGGGGATAGAGCTACATACTGATTATCTTTTTAATTTTTTTAATTTTAATTTTTATTTTGTTACTGATTTTAGAGAGGAAGGGAGAGGGAGAGAGAGATAGCCGAAACCGGTTTGGCTCAGTGGATAGAGCGTCGGCCTGCGGACTGAAAGGTCCCAGGTTCGATTCCGGTCAAGGGCATGTACCTTGGTTGTGGGCACATCCCCAGTGGGAGATGTGCAGGAAGCAGCTGATCGATGTTTCTCTCTCATCGATGTTTCTAATTCTCTCTCTCTCTCTCTCTCCCTTCCTCTCTGTAAAAAATCAATAAAATATATTTTAAAAAATATATCAGTGATGAGAGAGAGTCATTGATTGGCTGCTTCCTGCATGCCCCCTATTGGGGATTGAGCCCACAACCCAGGCATGTGCCCTTGACCGGAATAGAACCCAGGACCCTTCAGTCCACAGGGTGACACTCTATCCACTGAGCCAAACTGGCTAGGGCCATATTGATTATCTTTAGAATAAGACAAACATACCTGTTAAAATTTTTTAAATTTAGAAATAAAATTTGAATCTATATATATAAAAGCCAAGAGACCAAAATGACCAGAACGACCAGAACAATCGGTCACTATGACGCGCACTGGGGAGGCCAACCGGCCTGATCGGGACCCTGATCGGCTCCTACCAACCTCCCGTGGCCCCTCCCCCCCCACTGGCTGGCCCGATCGGCCCCCATTGCAGCGGGCTGGCCGGACCCCACCTGTGCACGATTTCGTGCACTAGGCCTCTAGTAAGAATATAAATGATAACTTCCAAATTAGTAGAAGGATAAAAGTTAATAAAATATCAATTCAATAGAGGTAGAGAAGATGGGGAAAAATCATTTTAAAAACACAGGTAGCCCTGGCCAGGTGGTTCAGTTGGTTTGATTGTTGACCTGTATACCAAAAGATTGCAGGTTTGATTCCTGGTCAGGGCACATACCTAGGTTACAGGTTTGATCCCTGATCAGGGCACGTTCGGGAGGCAACCGATGGATATTTCATCTCACATCAATGTTTCTCAATGCAGTTATATAATTCCTATCATGTTAAAATGCCTCATCAGTAAAGGTAAAACTTATAAGGGGAAAAATTGATTTGACAATATAATAATTAAAATTTTGGTACAGTAAGAAAACATATAAACCACATTGAAAGATAGAAATATATGTGGAAAATATATTTAACATACTGTATTTGAAAAATTAGGCACAAAATATGGTAGGCAGATAATATATCTATATCAGTAATCACAGTAAATGTATATGGATTAAACTAGTCAGTTAAAAGATAATAATAGATTGAATTATAAAACAAAACCCAACTATATGTTCTACATAAGGGACATATCCAAACCAAACAAACACAGAACACTTGGAAACCAGACAAGCACAGAAAATGATGGGAAAAAATAACAGGCAAATACAAATAAAAGAAAAACAGTTGTATTTACATTAATAGCAGACAAAATAGAGTTTAAGGCATAAAGCATTATTAGTGATAAAAAGGTACTATATTAAAAGATTTATTTCACTAGAATATAAGTCTTCTTATCTGGTATGCACCTAATAACAGCCTCAAGCCATAAAAAGCAAAACCAAACTGAATTACAAGAAAAAAGTCAGAATTACCAACTTAGTGGAAAATATTAACACCACTCCTTCATTTACTAATAGATAAAATAGACCAAATATTAGTAAGAATTAAAGACTATTTCAATCTTATTAATAAGCTTGATCTATTAGGCATATTTTATAATTCTGCTCCCAACAAATAGTGAATACATCATCTGAAGCAAACTTAGAATATGTACAAAAATGAGCATGTACTGAACTACAGAGTAAGTCTCAGCCAATATCAAAAAACTGTTATTACACAAACCATTTTCCCTGACCTCAATATAGATTCATTTATTTATTTATCCTTACCTGAGGATATTTTTTCCATTGCTTTTTATTTCATTAATTTTTTATTATTTTTTTGTTAATCCTTACCTGAAGATATTTTTCCATCGATTTTTAGAGAGAGTGAAAGGGAGGAGGGAGAGACAGAGAGAAACATCAATGTGAGAGAGACACATCAATTGGTTGCCTCTTATCTGCACCCCAACCAGGGCTGGGGATCGAGCCTGCAACCAAGGCACACGCCCTTGACCAGAATCGAACTTGGGACCCTTTGGTCTGTGGGTCGACGCTGTATCCATTGAGCCAAACCAGCTAGAACTCAAAATGGATTTCAACCTGAACATAAGAGCTACACCTATACAATTCTTAGAAGAAAACATGGGAGTAAATCTTCATACAACACTAAAGCTGAGGTGATAAAAAAAATTTGATAAAATGCCTCTAAAATTTTAAAACTTTGTGCATCAAATACCACCATTAAGAACGTGAAAAGGAAAACTACAGAATGGGAGAGAATATTTGTAAATAAAATTTGATAAAGAATTTGTGTCCAAAATACATAAAAAACTTGCAAGTCACTTACATGTACATAAATTACCCAATTTAAAAATGGGCAAAATATTTGCATATTCATTTCACCAAGGAAGATATGCAAATGATTAATAAGCACATTAAAAGATGTTCAATGCAGTTAGTCAGAAGGAAAATGCAAGTCAAATCCAAATGAGATACCACTTCACACCCACTACGATGGATTTAATAACAAACACAACAAGTATTAGCAAGAATGTGAAGAAACGAACCTCATATATTACTGTAGGAATGTACAATGGGACAGCCATTTTAGAAAGCAGATCAGCAGTTTCTCAAAATGTTAAACATAGTTACCATATGACTCAGCAATTCTACTAGATATCTACCTGAGAGAAATAAATACATATCCATACAAAAACTTGTACATGAATGCTGATACAAGTAGTAGTCATAATAGCCAAAAAATGGAACCAATCCAAATATCTATCAACTGGTAAATGGATAAACAAAATATGTATCTATATGACAGAATACTATTTGATAATGAAAAGAAACAAAGTTATAACATGGATGGGCTTCAAAAAGTTATGCTAAGTGAATAAAGCCAAACAAAAGGACCACTTATTAGATTACTGTTTTTATATGAAATGTCCACAATAGGCAGGACTATAGAGACAGAAAGTAGATTAGTGGTTGTCTGTGGCTGGGAGTAGGGACGGAGTGAGTGACTGCTAATAGACAGGAAGGATTTTTTAGGGTGATGAAAATGTGCTAACATTGGGTTGTGTTAATCACACAACTCTAAATTTACTAAAAATCACTTAATTGTATACTTTAAATGATTTAATTATATGGTATGTGAATCATACCTCAATAAAGCTGTTAAAAACAAACTGATAATTAACTAGAAATAAAATGAAATTCATGAAAAGTATACACTAAAACCTATAGCACATGTTTAAATGGTGAAACTTTAGAAGTATTCTCTTTAAAATCGAAGGAGAGCCTGGCCGGCGTGGCTCAATGGTTGAGCATTGACCTATGTATGAATCAGGAGGTCATGGTTTGATTTCCCAGTATGGGGTGTGCAGGAGGCAGTCAACCAGTGATTCTGTAATCATTGATGTTTCTATCTCTCTCTCCCTTTCCCTTCCTCTCTGAAATCAATAAAAATATATTTTTAAAAAATCAGGAAGGAGAAACATGCCTGATATTACTATTATTGTTCACCATTGTTTTGGGGTAGAGGGTGGCAGGGTCCTAGTTGGTGCAATAGAAGAAATGAAGATATAAGGATTGGAAAGGAAAAAATGGAACAGTAGCATTCATAGAAGATGTAATTGTCTATATCGGGTTGGCAAAAAGTTTCTGTAAAAGACCATGTAATAAATATTTTAGGCTTTGTATGCTATATAGTCTCTGAGCAGCCATAGACAATACGTGAATGTGTGTGGCTGTGTTCCAACAAACTTTCTATATAAAAACTAACAATGGTCCAGAGTTGGTCCACAGAACAGTTTTTATGACCCCTGGTCTATATAGAAAACTCTAGAAATTCTGCTGAGAAATTATCAGAATTAATAAGAATTAACCAAGACGGCTAGATATAAGATCAAAATGTAAAAAGCAGTATTGTTCCTAATCACAAGCAATTTAAAATTTTTTAAGTATATATTTTTAAAAAATGTTTTTATTGCCAGACCGGTTTGGCTCAGTGGATAGAGCGTCGGCCTGCGGACTAAAGGGTCCCGGGTTCGATTCCGGTCAAGGGCATGTACCTTGGTTGCGGGCACATCTCCAGTAGGAGGTGTGCAGGAGGCGTCTGGTCAGTGTTTCTCTCTCATTGATGTTTCTAACTCTCTATCCCTCTCCCTTCCTCTCTGTAAAAAATCAATAAAATATATATTTTTAAAAAAATGTTTTTATTGATTTTAGAGAGAGAGGGAAGGAGAGGGATAGAGAGATAGAAACATCCATGGGCGAGAGAAACATTGGTCAGATGCCTCCTACATGCCTCCTACTGGGGATTGAGCCTGAAACCTGGGCATGTCCCCTGACCAGGAATCGAACCAGTGACCTCTTGGTTCGTGGGTTGATGTTCAACTACTGAGCCACGCCAGCCAGGTTAAAGTAGATAGTTTTTAGTAATTAATAAATTTAGTTGGTAAACAGGAATAAGTTATAACAGAAATTTTGTATAACTTTTATGGAGAAAATTGTAAAGTTTCATTTAAGTCATAAGACCTAAATAAAATCTATGGACTAGAAGACTCCTCTAAAACTACAATAAACATTTAAAAATAAAGGCTGTGGTAAACTCATAAAGGAGAGGAAATAGGAAAGGAAGCAATGACAATAACATTTTTAAATCTGGAAAGTAGGTAAATGAGTGGCAACTGACTTAGCAACTTACTTTGACTTAATACAAAGAAAGCTGAATCCTAGGCTGGCAGTGGGGAAAAGTTAAGAGCTTAAGACAATTTATACACAATCCTCAAAAATCAGAGGGATTGCCCTAATCGGTTTGGCTCAGTGGATAGAGCGTCGGCCTGCGGACTCAAGGGTCCCAGGTTCGATTCCGGTCAAGGGCATGTACCTTGGTTGCGGGCACATCCCCAGTAGGGAGTGTGCAGGAGGCAGCTGATCGATGTTTCTCTCTCATCGATGTTTCTAACTCTCTATCCCTCTCCCTTCCTCTCTGTAAAAAATTAATAAAATATATATTTTTAAAAATCAGAGGGATTAGCAACTCTGGATACTCTGTAATAGAAGGGGTAGCTAAAGTAAGGATTCAAGTGAAAGATATTTGAGAACTTGTGTTTCTTTCCTTAATCCATATCACTGGGTAATTGATTGACCTTCTTCATTTCAAAAGAAGTTTCAAATTTTATCCTCTAAAGAGAATAAAATAGAGAATCTCTGTAGTAAAAGATGCAGACACAGTTAAAGGCTTTGTTACTTTACCAAAATCAGGGATACTGACTTACCATATGCCTACTGAATATTGAATTCAGAGACCCTTAGCTTCTTTCAGTTAATGAACCAAAGATACAGTAGGAGTTCCTCAAAAAATGGCTTCACCCTACATAATGAAGCTCAGCTTGTCCCAGCACTCAAGAGTTCCCAATCAGCTTTCTAGTTCCCCACTCAATTATGAGCAGACAGCTTAAGATAGACATTTGAGAAAAGCTTCTAATGTAAAGACCTACACAAATGGGGAAATATTTTGGAGGAAATAGAAACTACATAAGGAAAAGAAAACTTAAAATTTTAAAACCCTATCAATATTGTTGGAGAGATAAGAAAATACCTTTTATGCTTGAAGCATTGAATGTTGACTGAAGGATGCATCAGAGTAGAGAAATAGAAGGGACTTTTAACGAACTGGTATTGTTCCAGTTCTTAACAGGAGTGATGAGTGATTGGTGTTCATTTGTCTTCAAACTCCTTATATGTTTATGTACTTTTCTGTAGGTTTGATACAATTCACAATTTTAAAAATAATTAACAAAAAAAGTAAAAGGAGGAATAAAAAAATAGGGAAGGAATTAAAAAAAGAGCCAGATAGAAGTAAAAAAAAAAAAAACTATGGAAATTTAAAAACACATAGGATGGGTCAAGTAGCAGATTAGACACAACTTTAAAAAAATAGGTTGAAATATAGATATTGAAAAACTACCCAGAATGCAACAAATGGAAATAAGGAGATATAAAACATGAAAGAGCAAGTATGACAGGAGGAGAATGAAATGTGAATGTTTCTAACATCTATTTGGAGCTTTAAAAGAATAGAGAAAATAGGTGAGAGGCAATATTGGAATAAAGATAGAGAATTTTCCAGAATATATGAATAACATGAATCTTAAGATGTAGAAAGTTAAATGAATCCCTATAAATAGAAAGAAATCCAAATTTGTACATATCAGAGTGAAAGTGGAGTACTCCAAAGACAAAGAGAAGATCAATCAGAGGGAAAAAAAAGAAGTTATCTAAAGCAACAATGAGACTGATAGCAGACTTAAAAATAGCAACAATGGAAGCCAGAACTTGGTGGAATATCCTTGATATTCAGAAAGAAATAACTATCAACCTAAAGGTATATGCTCAGCTAAATTTTTAATATAAAAGAGTAAAATAAAGATTTTCAGAATAATAAAAAGTGAGTCTACTTTAACAAAGTCTTTAAATATATATATATTAGAGGGCTGATACACGAAATTCGTGCAAGGGGCTTGGCCCTCGCAGCCCTAGCTTCGTCTGGAAGGTCGTCCAGAAGGACGTCCAGAAGGTCATTTGGCCATCCGGTCTAATTAGCATATTATGCATATATATATATTAGAAAGGAAGAATAATCTAAAAAGGGAAATTAGAGATGAAAGTGAATGGTGAGCAAAAGAATTAATCATGTGTAAGTCTAATCGTGTAATTTAGACTGACTGTAAATTGTAGTTTGAAGGGCAAAAACATGACTATCACTGAATCCTTATATTCATGATAACTCTAGGTTTTGTTGGTTTGGTTTCTTCTATAGGTGTACAGAAGATGGGTGTCCACATAAGAAATTTTTCCACACACGTTTTCTCATGCGAATGAGATTAACACCAGATTGTTCCAAAATGTTGATCTCAACATCCTCTGGATATCTCTTGATTTTGCACGATCTTGACTTAACCAAGTCTTTAGAAGTAGGCAGCTATCCCATTTTGAGAGCAAGAAGAACTACATCAAGTTCAGGTAAGCTTTTCTTTTTTGAAGAATTTTCCAAAGAATCTCAGACATAGGGATGTTATCTTCCATTCTGAGAATGATAGCAGGAAGAAGGGAAGACAATTAAAAGACATTCTTTGGAAAGGTCAGTGAGAGCTTTTTCTCATGGAAATATAATTATCTATATGTATCTCTGACATAGCATTAATTTGTGCCTCTGATCACAAATGATCTAGGAAGAATAACTGCTAACTCTAAAAATATTTCCATTAGCATTATGCTAGCCAGAAAACCTTTCATCAGTATTTCTAAATTATCACTATCTCAAAAATTAATGATGATCTGAGGTAGTATCAATTTTTTTAAGTTCTGGAACCCACTAGAGCTTTTAAGTTATAGTCAATATGGAATTTTAGTTTTAATTCTGTAGTGTATCCTAGACTTCCAAATGCTCAGACACAGGTAGCCAGGGCCATCTTACCTCATGACCTCTAAACATCCTCTTGCTGAGGTCCTGTTCCTTCTTCTATTGCTGATTCCATCGGACTTAAGTGCAACTGGGGCTCAGAAAAATCTGTGCACTATAATTTATCCACATTATGTGATAGAAACTGTATTTCATCTACCTTTGGGAAAAAGAGGGCTGATCTGGGAACATACCCACTTGGAACACATAATGTTCATAAAATGTTATTAAAAATTAGCTTCAAATGGTTAGACTCTTTCTCCTGTGTGCATAGGGCCATTTCTTTGGGAATGTGTAGGCCTCATTGTACTGCAACTGCCCAATTGCTAAAAGTAGAAATTTAGGTTTTACCAGTCTATTTGCAAGCAAGGGATATAATCCTTTTGGATTCAGATTTCTTTTTTCTGGTTAAACATTAATAATCAACTTTAGCTTTCTGAGAAGCAGTGATTTAAAGGCCTAGTTGGCATTTTGTAATTAAAAAACTAAGTAGGTTTTCTGACCTCTAAGGGTAATTCTGATACTTAATAACATCAAAAGGAGCTAATTTAATAAGAAGCTCCCACAGAAGTGTGGGGCCACTAGAAAAGTGTGATGAAATAGAGATTGCTCTTTAGAGTACTACATCAAACTTAGCTATCTGATATTCATTTTATTTTCCACAGATTTCAATGTAAAATTTGTACTGCACTTCAAAGATAGTATTCACATAATTTCAAGAATGATAATAGAAGTTTTTGCTATGCTTTAAGAAAGATCTGTTCATGTTCTCGGTAATGAGCCTGTTGTTTGGACCCTATTCTAACATTAAACAATGGGCTAAACAGCTCAGTTTTCACTCTTATTGATATTTTTTATTCCATTTCATTACACAAATGATGCGGAACAAATGATGCTCCTGTGTTTATTTTATATTTCACTTAAGCTAGTCATTGGTATAGAAGATTTTAGAAAGGGACTAGGCCTTAGATAGAACACTTCAGAGAGCTGTCCTATCTTAATCTTAATTATAATAAGCCAGTTTTAAGTGGACATGTACTTGCCATATTTCAGATGGATTTTAATAGTATGGCTCAAGTAGCTGATTAAAAAGTTAAAAGATATTACCAAAGTTTTGCTAGGTGTATTGTCAGAACTTTTTGTATTTTTAAGATCTGACCACTTCATCAAGTTCATCTGGTCCTAGAGTTTCTGGTTCACCTTGTCATCATAGTGATTCTAATTCATCTTCTGAGAAACACATGTCACGAGCCTCACAAAGAGAAGGTAGGTTAAAAGTTGGATGTTATAATCCTGCAACAAGTGTTTCTACCAAGTAGCTTGCTTTGGTTTCTTTAATCCATAAAATTAGCCAAAAAAGATGAGGCTGTTCCTTGCCCCCCTCAGTTATCCTTTTCAAAAAGCTAAACAGGGTCTCTGGGTTTGAGTATCTTGGGCTTAAATTGTAGTTGGAGATTAAACTTAGATTTTATTTCCTGGACTTGGCTTTGTGTAGTTTGGAGAGGAAGTAGTTGGGAAATATAGATCCCAATCAAGGTTACTATGGAAATTAAGTGCGATTATGCATGTGACAGTGCTGTATAAATATAAGAGGATATGTTTATTAGGTGCTTGTGAAAGTCATCTGGTTTCAGCCCAGTAGACTTTTTATCTGCCATTTCCTTCTCTGAGCAATGCCGGACAGGCTCAGAGGGCTGGTGGGACAAAGCGAGCTACAATCTGGCCCTGTTCTGCTTTCCCCCGTTTTCCCCAGCCAGTCTGGCAGAGCTAGCTGCTTAGCCTGTCCCTTCCATCTTCTAATTGAAATGCTTTCTCCCCATGCAGATTTCACCTACAGTCCCTCTCCAAACTAATTCACATCTAAACTCTTATAGCACGTTTTGTTTGTCCTCTTTATAGACTGATAGCCAGACACAGTTTTTTTTTGTAATTTGGGGTCACCTTTTGCTGATAAGCATGTTTCCTATCTAGCTATTTTTGGAAAGGATTATACATTAGATTTGTAATTTGTGTTTTCCCTAGGAGGCCTCACCTTTTAAGTGCTTGATAAATGCATACTTGATTATTTTTGCATGCTTATTTATGTGAGTAGAATGGTTTGAGCACCCTTCCTAACCTAACCTATAGCTTTATCCACTTTCTTCTGGATGCTGAAGATTGTGATGTTTCACTTTAAAGTTAAAAACTCTTCCTCTTGCCGAAACCGGTTTGGCTCAGTGGATAGAGCGTCGGCCTGCGGACTGAAAGGTCCCAGGTTTGATTCCGGTCAAGGGCATGTACCTGGGTTGCGGGCACATCCCCAGTGGGAGATGTGCAGGAGGCAGCTGATCGATGTTTCTCTCTCATCGATGTTTCTAACTATCTCTCTCCCTTCCTCTCTGTAAAAAAAAAATCAATAAAATATATTTTTTAAAAAAAACCTCTTCCTCTTAAATTTAGAGATTTATGCCCAGATGTGTAGCATTTCTTCTTTAATTTGTAGCAGAAACTTCTTTTACAGGTTCTGCCAGTTCTTCTCCTTCTTCCTTGGCTATGGGAAACAAGCCAAGGCTTTTTTTTTTTTTTTTTAATTGATTTCAGAGAGGAAAGGAGAGGGAGAGAGATAGAAACATCAATGAGAGAGTCACTGATCGGCTGTTCCTGCAAGCCCCCCACTGGGGATTGAGCCCACTACCCAGGCATGTGCCCTGGCCAGGAATCAAACCCTGACCTCCTGGTTCATAGATTGATGCTCAACCATGCCAGCCAGGCCAATCAAAGGCTCTTAATAACCACTGAAAAAAATCTTTATTGATTAACTAAACCGTCCATGAGAAAAGAGAAAATTTAAGAAGAATAGTTCACAAGCTGCTTGTTACTTTGGTAAACACCAAAACAAAACTATATAGCAGTTGTATGCTATGAAAAGTTACATCTGGGAGAAGAGATGATGTATTGGGAGCCTGGGCAGAGAGAACAAGAAAATTTGGGAGTGGAAAGAGAGAAGGTGGGCTTAGAGGTAAGGTTGCTCTAAATGTTGGAAACCCTGGGTCTTTAGGTGTCAGCATATGTTAGCACCATACTTTGGCAGATATGATGGCTGTAAAGAGCAGAGGCCTTCAAACTTATTTCAGGATTAAAACTATTTTTGACATGAAATTTGCTGTGGATTCTTAGGGATTTAGCACGAATAAAAGTGGAATAACTCTGGTTCAAGTGAAATTAGGGAAGCCCTTGACCTACCCCATCTCTACCTTGGTTTCCAGGTGGTTCCCCCCCTTTTGCCAGCTGTTGAGGAACCTCCAAGGAGCACAGCTTGGAAACCACTAGTTAGCTATTTAGAATGGGTTTATTTTCTGCTTTTGTTACAGATTTTCAAAATTAATTCTGGAAATAGGGATTTGTTTTTCTCGAAAATTAAAATTTAATCACATGTGAAATCATTATTTAGGTATAATTTGGTTGTAACAGTGTAATTTGGAGCGTCACAGGTTCCCATCAATGCTAGTAGTCTAAAAGGAATCTTTTAAAAGAAGGTACATCTTTTTTGAGAAACAGTTTGCAAAGGGTTTGACAGAAGGAGCTCATTATCTTCAAAGGAACTCCTTCCACAGGAAGAGAAGTGTTGAAATATTTCTCTTGATATTACACTTTTAAGCTGCTTTCTCACAATGTCTGTACAAGTGGTTCTTCACATATCCGAGGCAGATGACGTATCCCCAGTAGTAACAATGGCTCTCTGCAGCAGTCACTTGCCTTAGAGCTACGTAGAAGGAAATGATGGGCCATACCAGAGTACCAGGAGTATGTATGATTGGCAGTGTCTCCCACCCCTTGTTTTGACATGCTTCTGTGTGAGTGTCCTTCCTCGCCTCCAAAATTATACATCTATTTTTATTTACAGTACTGTCCTTGGTGGCCATAAGTCCCTCTCCTTGTACACATAGCCTTTTATTTATATAATGGCAGTCTTCATGGCTTCCAAGTATTTCCTTCTCTGAACCAGATCTTCTGAGATGAGAATTGTTATCTTTTACTTTTCCAGATTCCTCTCATGTCACATAACTTTGATTTTACTTAAATGAAGAGCTTTCTGAGATATAATCCAAATCAAATGGACCTCTAGTTAGTTTTAATGCATTAGCTTTAGGTCATTGGTGATTCTTGCTATAGGAACTTGGATTCTTTAGTTCTAGTCATACCCTTTCCCCATATCCTCACCCCAAAGACATACTCCGTACATTGAGGGCACTGTGGTTTTTTTTTTACATGTGGTAGCATAATGCAGACAAAGGAATGAAGGCATAGTGGCTGGCGGACAGAAATCAAAGCTTTTTTTTTTTTTAGAAATCAAAGCTTTTTAAGAAATATTTATTTTTTAAAGTATTTTTTTACTTTTTTATTGAATCCTATATAATAAAAGGGTGATATGCAAATTGACCCTAACAGCAGAAAGACTGGGAATGACTGGTCACTATGATACACACTGACCACCAGGGGGCAGACGCTCAATGCAGGAGCTGTTCCTTGGTGGTCAGTGCCCTCCCACAGGGGGAGCTCTGCTCAGCCACAAGCCAGGCTGATGGCTGCCAGTACAGCGGTGGTGGTGGGAGCCTCTCCCGCCTCCTCAGTAGCGCTAAGGATGTCCGACTGCAGCTTAGGCCTGCTCCCCGCTGGGAAGTGGACATCCCCCAAGGGATCCCAGACTGTGAGAGGGCACAGGCCGGGCTGAGGGACTCCCCCTCCCCCCCGAGTGCACAAATTTTTGTGTACCGGGCCTCTAGTTGGTTAATAAAACTATATAGGCTTTAGGTGTACAATTCTATAATACATTATCTGTATATTGTATTGTGTATTCACCACCTACAAAAATCAAGCTTTGAAAAGCTGCCTTAGTTCTTTGATAATACAAATCCTACATTCTAATTTTCTTGTATCTCAGGAGTTTCACCACGAAATAGTCTTGAAGTCTTAACCCCTAAAGTTCCTGGTGAGAGAGACCGTGGAAACTGCATCACATCTTTACAGCTGCACCCAAAAGGCTGGGCCACTCTTCTTCGGTGCTCAAGCAACACTGATGATCAGGAGGTACGGGCGGCAGGACTCCACCTTCAACAGGGCCGACTGAACAAAATGCCATGTGTGCTTGAACCCCTTCTTCCTCCCCTCTGGCCTGGGTGTGGCAAGCTGGGGAGTACTTTAAAGCAGTGATCAGCTCAGATTGTGCCCAGCTTTTAAATTCTTTTCTCCTTCATCTCATCATAAAAAGCCCTTTATATAGTAAACATAAGACTGAGATGTTTCAGCTAAGCTGGCTAACTGTGAGGTTTTGCTAAGCCAGTTGAGTATAATAATTTTCTCTTTTAAAAACCAGGGGAAACTTTGGAAAAGGAAGGAACTAAACTGAGACTAGGGGAAAAGGTCTTATATGACCTTATGATTTTCAGCACTCTGAAAAGCAGGAGTCCTTGCCCTAACCGGTTTGGCTCAGTGGATAGAGCATCGGCCTGCAGATCGAAGGGTCCCAGGTTCGATTCCGGTCAAGAGCATGTACCTTGGTTGCAGGCACATTCCCAGTAGGGGGTGTGCAGGAGGCAGCTGATCGATGTTTCTCTCTCATCGATGTTCTAACTCTCTATCTCTCTCCCTTCCTCTCTGTAAAAAATCAATAAAGTATATGTAAAAAAGAAAGAAAAGCAGGAGTCCTTTAAGAATCTCACTAGCTCTAGAATCTGCAACTGAGAAAAGGAGAGAAGAGAGCCATTGAAACGTGTAGGGGAGGTATTCTAGGGCTTGACTGTCTTAACCCTTGAATTTTTAAATATTAAAATTGTTACTTTCAGAAAAGGGAATTATTACTACAGAAGTCACACTGGCCTTTGTGAATAAAAGGCTTTAAAGCATCATAGTACAGAATAACGCTAGCTTATGAAGATAAGAGGGTACAAGGCTACAAGTTCATTAGTTGCAAGAGGGGTAGCATTCATCTAAATGATTTCTTACAGTTCTGTGGCTTTAGCATTTTGTTGAGTTGTGTGTTTTTTAAAGAAGCACTATTTGAGGCTCTATAACTTTGGTTTATCCCTCTCCTCTCTCCCTAGTGGACTTGTGTCTATGAATTCCAAGAAGGAGTTCCGGTACGACCTGTCTCACCTCGCTGTTCTCTACGACTGACTCATTACATTGAAGAAGCCAATGTAGGCAGGGGTTATATCAAAGAACTTTGCTTCAGCCCTGATGGGCGAATGGTTTCTTCCCCACATGCCTATGGGATTCGATTGTTGGGATTTGACAAACAGTGCAGTGAACTTATTGACTGTTTGCCCAAAGAAGCCAGTCCCTTGCGGGTGATCCGTTCTCTGTACTCTCATAAAGATGTTGTACTGACGACAAAGTTCTCCCCAACACATTGTCAGATTGCCTCAGGGTGCCTTAGTGGACGGGTTTCTTTGTATCAGCCAAAGTTTTAGGCACAACTTACAACAAAATAAGCAACTCTTCTGGTGTTTGACATATAAATTGCTTCAATTGAGGTGAAGTATTTTCTTTTTTAGAAGATCTTAAAAGTTTGGGTCAAGATCCTGATTCTTATGAACACACCTGTGACCTGAGGACTTGGTCGTCCAGCATCATAGGGGCATTGCCAAGTTAGACTCTATGCAGCAGCATCTTTTGCAGCATTCCTCAGCTCCTGCTGATCTGTGCCACTGAACCCCAGTTCTGGTTATTTTGCATGTTAGCTCTTGTCGAGTTTCTTTCTTTTTTCTTTTTTGATTTTGGTGTGAATTTTGTGGACATTTAGCAGGAGTTTTGGTTGGGTTAGAAGAAATCTGTGACACTAGAATAAAACCCAAACGTTTGATGTTGGCATACTGATTGTTGAAAAAGAAATTTCATCTTCCCTTACCAGTATATTTGGTCTTTTAAAGTTGCTGTTATGTTTCTCAATAATGAGCACAGATAATGGCATTATTCTCATAACTATTGGATAGTCTTTCAACAAAATGTCTTTTAAGCTTCCTGTTAAAATTATACATATTTTTCACCATGAGAGGGTTTTGTTGTGACATTCTAGAAAAAATATTATCACCTCTCTGTAATTTACTTTACTTGTATGAATTTTAAAATCTCTAGCATGTGTCCTTACTTGGTATTTTGTTCCTGTCAACAGCATTAGGGAGGAAGAGGGGAGAAGGAATGAGCTTTGGTGGTTTCTGTTGTTTAGAAGAGAATTTATTTATTGGATTAGTACACTATCTGACCACAGAGTGATGAGGACAGTGTGGCTCAGATATTCTGTTTTCTCTGCCAGATTATTTGAATCACACAGGATGACGTTATAGTATTGGGGTGGAGGGGGAATCGAGAGTAAAGAGATGGGTTTTACTCTTATTTCTTTCATGAGCCAGATGGCACAAGGTCAACTCTTAGCATTAGTGAGAGGAGAACTTCTGTCCTCTTCAAGCTGTTGGCATGTGGTAGTCAGTGGCTTGGATGTCAAGACCGAGCTGATATGAAGACCTTTTGTTGTGTTTTGTTATGGAGCACAGCAAGTAAAAAGCATATAGCAGGGCTTGAGCCCAAGGCTGACTGCTCTGCTGAAGTAAGGGGCTTTCCTTTAGTCTCCTCCACTTTGAATGGTTTGGTGTTTAGAAGGGGTTTGCAAGAAGCTAGAATAATTTAAGTCACATGCTGGCTTTTTCCCTCTTAGATAACATTCTCTTAAGCCAGTTGCTCTCAAACATTAGGGTACATTATAATCATTGAGGAGCTTGTGAAAAATACAGAAAATGCCCTTACCTTAGGAGATTCTGATTCTGCCAGGGAGAAGACAGGAATCTGTATTTTAACAGGAACACCAAGTAACCTTTATTCAGATGGCCCCTGGATCACTGTTTATAAAACACTACCTTCAACATCAGTAAATACTTTTGTACCCATCAGGTGCTTAAGACAACTCCCAGAAGGTGTTTTGATTATTTTTTAATAAGTAAATGAAAGCAATTTTAGTGGTAGAAAATAACATAAAGTGAACTCAATTTCATTTTTTAAGGAATGAGAGAAGTGACTTGCCTAAGGTTATCCTAAAAAATTAGTGGCAGAGCCAGGACTCAAATTCAAGTCTCCTAATTCCTTGCTCAGGGCAATTTCTACTGTATTATGCTGTCTGTTAAAACAATGACTATGAACACTTTATTTTGTCTTTAATTTGTATTATTGTGAATACCCTTAAACTGGCTAAGACATTGGAAAAAGGAAGGCATGGGAGTAGATGCTGAGAATTCCAGCCATATGAAGAAAAGTATTTTAAATTTTATAGAAATGTTTAAGCAACCCAAATACATGAATAAAAATGACTGTTTTGGTTTTTTTTGTAGGACCTACCATACAGCCATTCACACATGTATAAAGGTTACATCTCACTTGGGACAATGTTGGCCCTAGGACAAATTTTTAAAATTAGATCAATTTACCATGGATGTTTAAAATTTGGAAATTTTTTCGTCATCAAAAAAATTATGACAAACTACAGTGGAAACACAGGTTTGACATAAACTTAAAAAAACACATTTAAAAGGAAGTTTTTGAGGCAAAAACACTTAATGTTAACATTAAAAATAAGCTACTGAGTGTAACAATTGTATTGATAATCAAAAGAAGTTTCCATAAATTGTATCACCTTTGGAGAGAGTTCCATGCTCATATTGCCCAGCTCTAAACTTCAGTCATGATTGTTTAACAACTATAGAGCATCTATCACGTGTCAAATAATGGACATACTTTACTACTAATCCTCACAGAAACCTTACAAGGTAGGTGGAGGAGTACCAATTTACTTTGGAGGAAATGGAGGGTCAGAAAATTTAAGTGATTTGCCTTAAGTCACAGAGCTGGGTGGCATCACTGGGATTCAAACCCTGGTCTGTTTTAGTCCAAAACCTGTGCTTATTACCCTCCCATTGTGCCCTTTGGTCGGTAAAGGATGGTAAACTGGCCGGTTAATTTACTTGTTTTGCATCCTCTGGAAGTTCTTTATTACAGCTGGCTTACCTTCTGCACCACGTAAAAGAACATTTACAAGATTAACAGTTTCCATTAGAATTAATACCATAAACTGCAGAGCATACATACAGTCCATTCCTAACTAAAAAACCCCAAGCAGGACATGTAACTGTAAAATAAAGAAAAATAGAGGATAAATAGCCTTATTAAAAAAAAAAAATAGAGCCGCACGGATGAAATGGGCTGTTAACCTTCGTTCTCTTTGAGGTATGGTCATGATCAAAAAGTCACCAGGGATATTAAGGAATTAAAAGTCCTCAGGAATGGTATGCTATTAAAGGAAATTACATCTTATAATTAAAAGGTCCCATTGCACTTACAGTGTAAAATCTAATGTAGTGTTTTTTACTCTAAATTTTATTTAGTCATTTTTATTCATGATAATTGGTAAACGTATTATAATTGGTAACATAGTATAATTATTGGGAAGTGTAGTATAAACTATACTTTGGTTTTAAAAAGCTTTCTGCAGAACAGTACCTTTATGGCAATGCTATGTTGAATGAGTTTAGGAACATCAAATGCATAGTAGTTCCTTATTTTCAATTGTGAAAATGAAGTGGCTAAAGCAGATGAGTTCTCTATTTTAATCTTTTGAAGATGTGTGTGGTCTTTTTCCTCAGAATCCCAAAGAACATGTATATTTTGTCATTTCTGCTTGTTACATCCTGAGAAGAAGCTATACCAAAAATTTTAGAAAAACAAGGAAAAGGTAGATCACACGTTCCCCATTTCTGTCTAGAACCAAGATCACATTATACTATTAGTATTAAAGTTTTGTTTGCTAAGAAAGGTGCAGTGTAGGAAAAATATTCTGAGAATCTTTTAAAAGCCTAATGTTTCCCAATTTGTCAGAATATATGGTATTGGCATCCATAAATACCTGTTAAACTTGTGTTTAGTAAGAGAAATATTCTGATAACTTACTAATGACAATCATCCCCATTTAGTGACCAGCAGTGACAGAGAGCTATGAAATTTCATTACATAATAAACTGTGTTGGTCATAAAGCATATATATGAATTTTTGGATAACTAATGCATATCTCTTAAGTGCCAAAATTTAAAACTTGTAATTCTTTTTGATGTGTTTCAAATATGTTAGTATATCTCCCTGCCTTCTTCTTAAACAGCATGCTCAGTATAATTCACTTTTTCATGATGAAAAGTAAAAGTTATATTCATGTATCATTACAAATATTCAGTGAGCTCTGATGTATATAAAATAATTCATAAAATGTAAAGGGCTATAACAAATATGAGTTAATATCAATTATTATAAAGTGATTCCCTCAGCCCTGAGGTATATGTAATCGTTTGCCTCAGATTGCTAGTGTTTTGTTTTTAATTTAAAAATGTTTTATATCTGCTAAGCAGTTTATTCTGTCTCCTTCCACACTATCTATATGCCTGCCTCTAAAAGATTCCCCACTTCTTCTAATGTGCTGTGTTCATGTTATGAGCTGGAACATGAGATAACCAAGCCTGCTTAGTGACTGCAGATCTGGACAAGCTCTGGGTACACAGGCTTTGAGATGGCTCTTTTGGTTGTTTACCACCTTTCTGACAGGTTCAGAATAACCTTCTGGATAATATAAGTTTCCAGTAAAGGCCTAACCTAGTGTTTCTTTTTTTCAGTTGCCACTAAATAAAATACTTCAAGCAAAGGGTGTTGCTAGATTAAGGAACAAACAGCAATGTACCAAAGAATAGCAAAGCAACAACAAAGGCTCTGTATTTGCACAGGGGTCTTACATGCTTTTAAGAAAAAAGAATACAGAGGGGAAAACAATGAAAATTAAATCCAGATAGACTTAAGAGTATTTTTTATGCCATTAAATAACTATTAAAATATATGCTTAAATTATCACATGTTGTTACAAAGACACAGTTTAGTCTCATTGCAGAATAAGATTGTACCAAAATTTATACTCTAAAGATGATTCCTAAGAATTTCTCCCATTCAAATGATAATAGAAATGATTATCAAAAGGAAAGTCTCAAATGTACCAGTATTCTCTCTTTAGTTATAAATGAATAAGCGGTAGTAATATGGGTTTTATCAAAGTTCCAAGGAACACATCTCACATACACACAGATCCTATATGTATGTGTAATAATGTCACTATAAATAAAAATGTCACCCAGAGGTAATAAAATAATTTTTAAATTTAAATCTGGTCTAACGTATTTAAAATAGAATTTTCAGCTTTCCTAAGTTTCTTCCTCACTTTTCATGGTTTTTACCTTAAAAAGGGAATATTGGAATTTTTTTTTTTTTTAATTCACTATATCTATTTCCAAACTGTGCTTTCTGGTAACTTTTAGATTCACATTTTCAGGAAATTTGGAATGCCCTATACAATATACTAGACACCAGGAAGTTTTCTCACTGGGCTCTGAAGTGCTGTAGTTCTTATGCTAGACTGTAAGCTCCCTGAGGGCAGGGACTGTCTTATTTATTCTTGTATTCTTGTACAGGATCTGACAGAGTAGTTGCTTCATAAATGGTTGTTGAATGAATCAAATGAACCTTCACCATATGTGGCCTCAAATTCCCATGAAGCCAGAATTATTCAGCACTAAAGGAATCCATCATTTATTATCACAGTGAACACACTGTGTGCATCAGAGTCATACCTGTGGTCAGAAAAGCTATGCCAACTCATTGATCTGGAAAACTGCAAGTTTAAGACTCAGTATTTCATTCAACAAACATTTGAATCCCTACCATATGCTTAGTCCAGTACTAGGGACCCAAGGGACTAAGGTTTTCGTATTCCATAGGTGCAGCTGAAACAGACTTCGATGCAGGGCGTGTGACCTGTGCAGGCATATAGGGCTCTGCACTGAGAAAGGTCCCATGCTTGGTTTAATGCTTGGCTAAAGCCATGTTGAAATTCTTAATTTTTTCAACAGGGGACCCACATTTTTATTGTGCACTGGGCTCATACATTATGTAGCTGGCCTGGCTTGGATATTATCATTTTGATATAATGGAAACAAAATAATCCTATATAATAAAAGCCTAATATGCTAGGTGTCTGGTCAACCAGTCGACCATTCAACCAATCAAAGCATAATATGCTAATGATATGCTAAGGCTGCTCAACTGCTAGCTATTATGTGCACTGACCACCAGGGGGCAGATGCTCCAACCGATAGTTTAGCTTGTTGCCGGGGTCTGGCTGATTGGGACTGGGTGAGACAGGGCTGGACACGCCCTGGAGCCCTTCTGCAGTCCTTCCCCAGCCCTGATGGTGCACTGGTGGGGTCCCTCGGCCTGGCCTGTGCCCTCTTGCAATCCGAGACCCCTCGGGGGATGTCGAAGAGCCGGTTTCGGCCTGACCTCTCAGGCCAGGCCGAGGGACCCCACTGGTGCACGAATTCATGCACTGGGCCTCTAGTAAGAATTATATTATCTTTTCACATTCATTGAACTAGCCATAGTGCATGATTTAATAAAATAACTTACAAAATTTAAAATTAAAACAGAAGTACTCCCTTCCCAACAAACTTTTTAAAAGATCAAATGTTTTTCATTTAAGAATTAGGAAAGCTTTCTAAACATGTAATTGGCTTTCACCTTTTCAATTGAATTATTTTTGTGTGTGTGTTTTTATTCTATTGAATTATTTTGAGTTTTTCAAATGGATGAATGTAGAGTTGTAGGTGAATTTATTATCTAATTACATACCTATATACAATTTTAAGGTTTTAATCTTTTATTAATATATGCACTGAATATTTTAGTATAAGTCTACCTCATAATGTGCTTTTAAAAAATAAATGCTACTTTGAAACACCTGACACACTTTTTGTGTGTGGCTAACCTGTTTAAAAGGTTGATTGGCAAAGTGGCATTCAGCAGTAGTTTGAAAACTTTTGTTTAAATCGCTTAGGTGTTCATCTTTAGACCAGAATCAGGCATAACACTCTGGCAGAGGCAGGGATTTGGTGGTTCTTGTTGGTGAAAGTCTAAACTTTCTCAATCATGTAGCCCTATCAGAAAAAATTGGAGAATACACTCTAAATTTTGATTATTTATAAATTATATATATGCATATACTATTGTACAGATCTATATGTACATTATAAAACATGTACAGAGATAAAGGAAATTTTAAAAATATAACATTAAAAAAATCAGTCCCTTCCAGGGATCGCCTTGTGCTTCCACTGTACATGCAATTTTGTTTTGTGAAGATCACTGTTCTAAACACAGAACTGGCATTTTATACTGAAAACACATTTATTAAGATCTGATCCATTCACATCTGTTCATTTACACATTTATTCAATATGAGTTTCATAAATTAGTTCTTTATTCATTGAAAATAATATTCATATAAATAGAAAGCATAGTTGACAAAATTCTACTTTTGTTTGTCAAGCTATATACAGTAATTGGTTCTCATGTAGACAAATTAGAACATGCTATTTTTTTTTTCAGTGTTCCCTAAGAATAATTTAATATTATTTAACAGGGTGATTAGTGGTTCATTTCACCATACCACTTTAATTCACTAGAAAAATGATAATCAAATTTGGTACACTCACTTTTTTGGTAAGCCATTGAAGAGAAAAATAGAATAAATCCCTTTCAATTATTTTGTGAAATTAACCATTTAGATAAACTGATTTAACTAACCACAGCACTAATTATTTCAGTTATTCCAATGACTGACATGATATGGACTATTTAAAAATAGATTTTTTTGGAGAAACCAAGATGGCGGCATAGGTAAACACAGGTGATTGCTGCCTCGCACAACCACTTCAAAAATACAACTAAAAGACGGAACGGACATCATCCAGAACCACAGGAAGGCTGGCTGAGTGGAAATTCTACAACTAGAAGGAAAGAGAAAAGCATACCGAGACTCAGAGGAGGTGC